CTCTCTCTCTCTCGTTGCTGCTCTCCAAAGCCTCCTCCCACGACTCAAGTTCTGTTGCTGCCTGTGCTCCAAGACGTCGTGTGCTGGTCTGTAAATCCTGACCTCGGCTGAGTTTCAGTTCAAGAGTTGCATCCTGCCACGGCAGGCCTCTTGAAGCTCGGCTCCGTTCACCTGAGTACGGCGTCGAGCTCCGGCATCTACATCGCAGCACACAGCCTTTCTCTCGAAGCTCGGAGGCACTTGGATGTCATGCAAACGAGGGGTTCGGAGGGGCGACCAAAACTCCTTTCGTTCTGGTGCCGCAAGGAAGACGTGATGAATTGCACGAACACCTCCGCTTGCAGCTGGACTGCATTGCGAGCTTTGCCTGCAGGTTTCAGCCCTCAGTTGACCAGACGACAAGCATTCCCATCCAGGCACCTTCTATGCGAACGCCGCCACAAGGGCCGGCTTCCTTTGCCCTTTGGGCACAGGGTCGGTGGATTTCGTTCATTCGCATGATTTCGGCTGCCTGGTATGGCTGGCCTGCATTCGCCTGAAGTGTACAGTCCAGTGTTCCGAACCCTATGCTATTCTCATTTCGTAGGTGTGCAGGACTTGCACGAGAAATTTCAAGGATATCTTGTGATTCCGTTCATGTCGTCGGCGAAAGCCGACCTTGACAATGCGGACCGTAGCCAGGGATAGGTCGTGCCAAACACTCGACATAGAAGCGAACGGTACCACGAACTTCCTCTAGAAATCAAGGACAGGATCCTACAAGACCCGCCAGGCATGCAGGCCAGGGGACACGCAGGTTCTGAACGTGACGAGGAGGCCGGCCGTGTCGAGGTCGAATGGGGACATTCATCTGGGTCCATCCAATTTTCTTGGAAGGAGGCTGTTGTTATCCTGGGTTTGCCGTTGGATCGTTTATGGTCCGAGCCTTAACACCCCAAGCCTAAACTTAACTCTAACCCCTACCGCTGCGCCGCGACTCATAGCCCGGAATGACCGTCAAGAACAAAACATGTAGTATGGAGTGGCCGCCAACCGCGGAAAGCATACCTTTCATCATAAATGTCTCCAGCTCCGAAGTGGCTTTCGGGTCGACTTCCAGCAGTATTTGGTGAGCGATTTTGTGCGGGATGTTTCAGATAGCAAGTACGTCTCCAGGCCGTGCAGTCAGTGCCCCGAAGGGGCTTCCAAATGCCTGGCCAGCGAGCTGAAGATGGAGTGCTCTGTCCTACAGTGACCAACTGGAGGCTTTTGGGTTCCGGTTTTGTGTTCCGGGTGTTGGGGCCCTGGCATCAGATCAGAACAGTCCGTTACGTGGCAAGCTCCAAGCGAGACTTGATTTCTTTGTTTTCCGAGCAGTCTTTCAAACGCAGGCAGCATCATTTTGCCGAGCATTCATTTGACAAATTTCGCTTTCTTAGCCTATCTCAAGGCAGGCAAGCAGCAGCACGCACCAGCATGCAGCAGCAGGACGCCCAGCACCGAATTTCGTTGTCGGAGCAGACTGCATCAGGATGTCCAAGATTTCGGTCAAGACTTCGTGCCCAAACCCTACACAGTTTCTGTGCACAGACCATGAGCCTCATGGAAAGGCGCGATCAAAACACACCCGAGAGACCAACAAGAACCCAGAAGCTCTCGCGAGGCGAGCTCATGCCCCACCAAGCAAGCCGCCATGATCAGGAATACATCCCTGTAAAGAGCCCAGCAACCCAAAGCAAGATGCCACCGACCCCTAAACCTAAACCTCAAACCCCAAAATCCCCAAACCCCCAAAGCCCCGAAGCCCCGAGCCCCTGAACCCCCTAAACCCAAGAAATTTAAAAAGACTGAGGCCCGGGCTCATGGTGGAATTGGGGGATGTCAAGCGCAGCTTCCACTGTCCCAACGAGGCTGGGGTGATTAGGGTTCTGTAAGACTTCTGTAAGGGTTCCCTTCAAGGATATTGGGGTCCATAATTCTTCTATAGGGCATCTACAAGGGTTTTGGAAGGGTTTTGGGTTCAGGGTTTTGAGACTCCAAACCCCTACTAGTAAACACCCAAAGTGACACAGTAGCCTCAAGACTGGATTCTTCGGAGACTGTGCTCCGTGCACGCGAACACGAAGCGCCTATCAAGAAGCAGAGCACCTACATCGCACAACACTGAGCTTGGCCCAGCACCAAAGACGTCAAGCAGTCCACCCGCAAGGCTGCCTGCCCTGGGGGCGATCTGTCCGAGGGAAGGGTGCGCGTGGCAATGTGCGCAGATGGCTGCCTTGGCTCCAAGGGGTTGTGGTTCGACTTTGACATTGGGTTTCGCTTCACAGAGGTAATGTCGAAGCCTGAAGAGGGTTCCCTGTCCTTATTGTCATAGTGTCACAGTATGCCCCAAAGCATTGTTCTAACTATAAGGCACTATGTTACTTTCATTAGCCACATCGTTCTTCTGAGATCCTGAATCTGAAGCACAGATATAAGCACAGATGGAAATGACGAAGCCTTGAGTTCAAGATCGCAAGGTTACCGGGGCCAAGGCTGCACAAACTGCAGCGATGAGCACGCCATGGCGGACAGCAGTGTGTTCTCGTGCTCCTTGCCCCACCTGGACTTTCAAGCTTTGGGCCTTGGGGCTCCATTGACTTGTCTGAAGTTGGCAGGGTTTTAGGGTGTGGCTGAGGGTCTAGAATTTAGGGTTTAGGGCAAAAATTCCGCACGTTTAGCAGCTACACTTTAGCATCACCATGTTAATTGTGGCGGCGTTTGACAGTGCTCATTTATCTTTTCCAGCCCTGGCAGCTTCGAAGCAACCACAGCTCGGAATTCCTGAGTTCCAGTGTTGGGAATTGATGCTGGCCATGGGAATTTCGGCCTGGGGTTCTAGATTCTGGACAGAAAGTTGCAGGGCCTAGCAGCCCAGCTTTGTCCAGCCTTGCGTGCTGCCTTCTGCTGCTCGCAGTGGCTGTCACCTCCTGCTAGGTTGTAGGGCTCCTCGCGAGTGCCTTCGAACTTCTAACCGTCTTGATCCTAGCCGGCACTTCTCGCTCTTTGAAGCTCCAGTTGTATTCTGAACCACCGCATCAGCAGGGAGACCAAAGGATCCAGTTGCCACATCTTTGTGGCAAGACAGCATGTAGTCCTTCAGCATGCTGCGGAGGCACTGCCTGCAGCAAAGACCGTCGAGTGCAGGCTGGATAGTCTTATCATGCGCTCCGAACATCTAGGACGCCTTGTTAAGGCCAGGCACTGCATTTTTGCCCTCGTGGTCTCTTGCGAGAAACCGCATAGATAAAGGCTTTGGTCCCACCGAAGCTATATGCGATGGCTTTTATGGGGTGCGTGGTCCAGCAAACCTCGGTGGACACCTGCAAGCCCAAACCCGAAACCGCAAACCGTTGAGCTTCTCAAAGTCAGCACGTATGCTTGACCGTGGCAAGACATTCATAACTAAGGGATATTCAGCTCCATACACTTCCAGGAAACCCTGTAAATCCTGACACAACACCTTGAGTGAGCGGACCCATGGTTAAGGGACGTAGGAGTCTCTGAGCTCTGTGGGCGAACCGACGCAGGCGGTGCAGTGGATCACGTTCCTGTCTCAGCGCACCTTCCTTTTCGCAATCGGAGCTCTGAGCGCCTTTGGAGCCAAGAAGGACGCTTGGCAAGACCCAAACCCTAAAGCCATCTGGCCTGAAGCCAGCTAGAGCACTAAAAATCATTAAAAGCCCATAGCCGAGAGAAGGCTTAAGCCATCCTAAAGCTCTGAACCCAACATTGCCTGGGCTGCTGAGCTCAGGCTGGGGACCTGAAGCAAAGCAGCATCTATCTGAACCAGCTGATGGCCTTTGCCACCATCTCCAACACGACGCTTGCCGGCATATCAGGGCATTTATGGTCTTTTGCTTACCCTAAAGCCCTAAACCCTAAGCCCCAAAAACTGCCTTGAGAACCTTGAGCCCTAAGCCTAAAGACTAAACCTTTTAGGTGTTGGGGTTTTCCCTTCTTGGGGCGAGTGCCCAGGATCCTGGCTGCCGTGTTGCAGACCCAGACGGCGAAGGACATCAAAAGCGACGCCGCCGCCCCGCCGGCATTTCGGAGCTTTCTCCTTGCAGACTACATCACGATCATCATGTATCATCACATATCATCATATACGTAATAGTATCTTATCTGTCCATGGGCCTCCGAGCCAAGGCGAACTTCTTCTTCAACGCTGCTATGCACACCGCCGAGGCAGCTTCCGGACAAGGACAGCCCTTCAGGGAGTCAGTGCGCTCCTGAGCACTCCGAACTGCCTAACTGAAGCTCAGCTTTTCGTGTCTGCTGGAGCCTGCAGCAGAGAGAAGGACTCAAGGTTACCCCCAAGATGCATCGTACCGCCCAGAGCACGATTCCGGCTTAGTCTGCCTTCACTTGGTTCCCGGCTTAGCAGAAACCGGCGCAGCCTCAAACTCCCAACCTGAAATCCTGAACGACTCACCGTCGGTCTGTACGAGTGACCCAGCAGCTCTCGCCAGGATCTTTACGTAGCGCCTCCTCGCAGTGCCTGTTGTCCTACTTCGGCTACGAGAAGACCTTGTGGCTTGGTCGCAGGATTTCCTGTTCAGACCCTCTTTGACTTCACTGCTTCACAGGCTGTGGGTGGACGGTTTCGGCATGGCTGCACAGAAGTGATGACTCCGTACTTGTTGTAGTTGTTGTGCGGACTGCGGCTCAGATGGGGAAGTCACCTGCTGGATGTCGTCGCTGGGCCGCACAGACCTGCACGGGAACCGGAACCCATGGATCGAGTAGCTTCTTTACGGGTCCTTGTGGTAGGGCTGTAAGGCTCTTTCTATTGCGAGTAATACACGGCTCCTTCATGGGTTCCTTCTGATCGGGATCCGACTGTATTACTATGCTGGCTCGAGAAGAAGGATCCTACTATTCTCATCCTTCGTGGGGTTATTTAAACAGGGATCCCACTCCTATCACTAAGATCGCAATGGTTGCAGTTTCAGCAGTTGAAGATGTGCTTGGTCCTGGAGTCTTCAAGCAGCCTGTGAGAGTCACGAGTAGAGTGTCTGGCCTGTTGCGGTACTCTGTAGGAACCTTACTTAGGTAAGGTTCCTAAAGCATCAATCTCCGACAACCCAAAAGGTTGTGGCAGCCGGGCTCATTTCATCGCTGTCCTTGACGAAGGATTTTCGTGTTGCGCTCATCGCAGGCCTGAGCATTTGGAAAGACTCTGGATGCAGCAATCCTTACTGCATGGTGCAATGGACTTTGAGTCCAAGTATCAAGCTCGAAAAGTTGCTTCATTGCTCGATGATTCAACCATGAAGCTATAGTCTAGAAACTAAACCCTATACCCGAAAGCCTAAGCCGGTTTGGGGTTGAGTATACCCGGGCATCAAGACAGCTCTCAGAAGATCAATGCATGCTCATTCGTGTTTGCAAGCTGCTGGACCTAGGTGGAGACAGATGTGTATCTGTATGATCTGGGTAGCATGTATACATACACACATACATAATTTCATACATACTTATGTACGCACGTACGTACATATACAGACATACATGCATGCAGGGACGTATGCATGGACGGATGTATGAATGCTGGTATGGTATGGTATGGTATGGTATGGTATGGTATGATAGGCAGCACCATGCTGCGCTATGCCATGCTGTGCTGTGCCGCACTATGCCATGCATGCATGCCCGCATCTGTGTATGTACGTGTGTATTCATGTATGTTTGTATGTAACATGTTCGCATGCATGCATGTTTGTATGTATCTGTTTATACGCATGTGAGTACGCATGTGCATGCTGCATGTAGATACATGTGTGTATACATATTTGTTGTTTCATACATACATACATACATACATACATACATACATAAATACATACATACATACATACATACATACATATGTATGTCTATCTATCTATCTATCTATCTATCTATCTATGTGTATATATATA